GTTATTGTTAACATTAGGTTTACATTATGAGTAACATTACAGTAATGGAACTTTAGGGAGCATTACGTTACTGAACAGCAAATAATAAGCTTACTTCTGAATTGTGTCGCATCTGTGAGTCTCTATTAACAGTAGTTCAGTTCACTTCATAGTCTAATACTCGGTCGTGAGATATTTTAGACCACGTTTTATGACCATGAAAATGTACGTGTGCATTTACTCGGTCGGCAATACGTTGCCAACAAGCCAGCCTGCTTTTGTTGGCTGCAGTGGTATTGGACTTTCTTTACAGCGTTGATTTAAACTCCTCATATCCCTGCATGATTAGCATGCAGTCTTCCTCCGTGATACATGGAGATCGCACCATGAGTCAAACGGTGCCTTGCGCTGCCGAACGTGCTCCATTTATGTGAACGCGCAAAAACTCCAATGCAGTTAACACCGATGTAACAAATCAACTTCTTAACTGGCGTCGTAGTACTGATTTAGCACCGATTGAGACAACCTGATTTTGTCAATCATGCGTTCGCAAATTGACTCCGGGTTAAATCTGATTTGGTTAAATCCCCTTCGTAGTACAGGCCCCAGGAGAGGCTAAGGCACGCAAGCCAGAGAAGCACTTATAAGCAGGATTTACAAGAGATCAAACAAGAGGCAGCTGGAGTGAGTCACACAAGAGCTGGAACGAGAGGTAGGACAAAAAACAAAATAGCAGGCATGGCATTCTGTAATGTTTAAGGCTGTGGAGTTTATAGTGCTGACTATTTATCGAGATAAGGCTTGGTATTCTGAAAGCTTTTTTTCCAAAAAGAGTTGCTGAAAAAAGTAGGAGGTTGTCATATATTCTGGCTAATCTGGTAATTTACTGACAGAGGTCAGTACATTCAGCTGTGGTAGACAACGAGAAGATCTTCAGTGAGATGATCTGCTCCATCCAGAGAAGACGCTCTGAGGTGACAAAGTTGATCAGAGATCAGGAGAAGGCTGCAGTAAGTCAGGTTAAAGGACACATGGAGAGACTGAAGCAGGAGATTGATGAACTGAAGAGGAGACACTCTGAGCTGGAGCAGCTTTCACACACAGAGGATCACATCCATTTAATTCAGGTAACAGAACAGCTACCTTAACAATATGAGAACCAGAAACTTAGAACAGATATCCAAGGTCATATACATTCAGCTTGCTTTATCATTTGACAGATGTAAAATATTTCTGTTAATTTGATTACAATACACATTGGTTTTGATGAAGCAGTTTACTCGGAGTGTGTGTCTGTAGAGTTGCCAGGGTCTTCCGGTTGCCCAAGAAGCTGGAATTGGACCCAGAATCTCTGTCTATCCACGTTGTTCTTTTGAGAACATGAGGAAGGTGGTTTCTGAACTGAAGGATCAACTGGAGAATGTTTGTGAAAAGAAAACAGCACAGTTGCATCGTACAGGTTAATAAATAAATGCATTTTCCAGTCTGTTCATGTTAATATAGACCATGCAGATAGAGAATGCAGTACAGTCAGCCTTATGTTTGTGTGACCAAGTCAGTTTCTGTTTCAATAAGATTAAATCTTTGCGTAAACCTTTAAAAGAGATCTACATTTTACAGGTTACACAAATCGTGTTTCTTTTAAATTATGCAATCTAAAAATTTCTATTGTGTTTATTGTAGTATGATTAATGGTTTGTTAAACTGCCTGTTACTGTACCTCATAATGATAATTCCCTACTGCTGTTATCTCCACAGTGAGTGAAGTCCATCTCCCACAAGTAAATTCCTTTTACTCACATCCCTGTTTCTCTCTGACTCCTTCTAGTTACCAAAGACACCATCCTATCGGTATTAGTGCCCAGGACCAGACCAGAATTCTTACAATGTGAGTCTGTTCACACACACGCTTCTCTCTCCCTGTATGAGGTGGAGTGTGTTTTATTGTCTTTCGTTTTCTTCTGCTAGGGGAGCTTCTCTTTCTCTCTCCTGCTGCCTGGCCTTGCATATTTACAGAAATTGTTGACATCAGTATCATTCAATTGATTTCTAATGCAATTGCTGATGTTTAATATTACTGTGTTTATCATGTTGTTCATTCATGTTGAGAATATAACCATTTAAAAATGAAGAGGTAAACATATAATTAACGGTTTTTCAGTGATGACATCAATAAGACCAAACCATCACCTTCTGATCTTCTCCTCCATCAGATTCCTGTCAGCTCACACTGGACCCCAACACAGCAAACAAACACCTCCAACTGTCTAAGGGGAACAGAGTGGTGACATGGAAGGAAGAGACACAGTCATATCCTGATCACTGGGAGCGATTTGTCACATGCCACCAAGTGCTGTGTACAGAGGGTCTGACTGGGTGCTGCTACTGGGAGGTTAAGTGGAGCGGGGGATGGGTTGGTATAGCCGTCACATATAAAGGGATTGACAGGGAAAGAGGAGGTGAGGGCAGTAGGCTTGGATACAATGACAAGTCCTGGTGTTTGTACTGCTCAGGCTCCAGTTACTCATTCCGGCATAATACTGTGCAAACAGCGGTATCTGGCCCCCCCTCCCCCAGGATAGGAGTGTACCTGGATCACGGGGCAGGAACTCTGTCCTTCTACAGCGTCTCTGACACAGTGACCCTCCTGCACAGGGTCCAGACCACGTTCACTGAACCACTCTATCCTGGGTTTTTTCTCTGGAACAGTGCAGCCAGACTGTACTGAGTATGTTAACAGGCTGTTAAAAGTATGTCAAAAAATTAAAGACAGAAGCAGGCAGTGATTCCAGGAGATCAGTGCACAGATCAAGCCAAGGTGTGTCCTCCAGCACTAGGGACACCCTGGATGGGATGTCAGTCCATCACAGAGCAGCCACATCATCACACACTGTGGACAATTTAC